CATTGGGAGGATGATCTCAAATTCCTTTATGCTAAAATTAGAAGTAGAATGAGAAGTTCAAAGTCGATTATTAACTTGCAATCCCATTTCTACTAGGTCTGAAGTGGTTTCTTCCATTATTAAATATTTTCAATACTTTTACAATCCCACACCCCCTCCCAATATGGCTTTGGAGATATTTCCTATTGGTATTATTTTATCTGGTAGTTATGCCAACTCTATTACTTCCTTTGTTATGGATGAAGAAATTAAAACTGCTGTTTTCATGAGATCTTCTAATTCTGCACCTGGCCCGGATGGATTTAACTTCCATTTTTATAAATCTAGGTGGCATATTATTGGTCCTTTTGTTTGCAGGGCTATTAAGATCATTCTTCTAAAAAGGTTATTTGCCTAATGGGTTAAAATCTACTACTCTTACTATTATTCATAAGCACAAAAATGTTGCCTCTATTTCTGATTACAGGCCTATTGCTCTTTGTAATGCATTGTATAAAATTATTGCAAAGGTGATTGTTGTTAAACTTAAACTAGTTATGCCTTTGATTGTTAAGGAGAACCAAGCGGGGTTTGTTAAATTAAGAGTGTCTACTGATAATATTCTTCTAGTGGCATCCTTTCTTATGCTGGTAAAAGAGGTGGTTTGAATTTGTTTTGTGCTAAATTAGATGTCAGGAAGGCTTTTGACTCTATTTCCTAGGAATTCTTATTAGCTAGATTGATTCTGAAAGGTTTCCCCAACCTTTTTATAAGTTGGATCAAAGCTTGTATCTCAGATGTTAATTTTTCAATAGTGCTTAACGGTGCTCTTGAGGGTTATTTCTCCACTTCTGCTAGGCTGAGACAAGGGTGCCCTCTTAGCCCTTATCTTTTCTATTTTGTTATGGATGCCTTTTCCAATCTTCTTGAGGGGAGAGATTTTAAAGGTATTTCATCAGATAACTACACTCTTACTCATTTACTCTATACTGATGATGTGTTGGCATTTGAGGAGGCCACCATAGAGGAATGTCACAAGCTAGCTACCATCCTAAGGGATTTTGCTAATGCTAAGGGACTTCATATTAACTTTGAAAAAAGTGCTATTATGTTTCCTAAGCGTCAGATAAATCAACAAGACATCTGTCAGCTCTCTCTATTCATAACATTACCACAAAGATTACTTATCTTGGCATTTCTCTATCTTTCTACAAGCTCAAAATAAAAGATTTCTTGCCTCTCACAGATAGTATCAATAGGAAGATGAATGGATGGAAGGCTAACTTGTTGTCCTTTGCTGGCAGATTATAATATCTGAAATTTACTATACATAACACCATTGTTTATTGGATACGAGGATCCATATTGCCTAAATCTGTATATAAATTTGTTAAAAAACCAGCTTCGTGTTTTTGTTTTTTGGGGATACATCTAACTCTAAAAAGTTGCATATGGTTTATTGGGACAAAATTTGCTTGCCTAAATAGAAAGGTGGGCTGGGTATCCCTTTGATTAAAGCTCTACAATTTTCCTTTAATTGCTGTCATTATCATAATGTATAATTGCCCCTTCCCTTTATCCTCATGGCTCTCCAGTAAATATAGCGAACCTTGGCGACCTCCCCCGCCTTCTGCTTCTAAATTTTGGATATTGATTTGTAAAACTATTGTGGAAGCTAAATCCTGCTTTCGATTTAAAATCATCCAAAATGGCCCTATTTCTTTGAAATGGGATCACTGGTGTCACAATGTCACTTTAGGTGAATATTTGGGGGGAGCTTCCTTTGAGTTTCTTCCTGTTTATCTCCTGACTTTGTTTATTTCTAGAATCCAATGGGTTTTTCCTAAGAACTTACCCATGTAGTTGAGAAGTCTTTTTGGGGATTTACCTGACATTTAATGTGCTGGTCCTTGTTTTCTTTGGAAAAATTGGAACAATTTCAAATTCCATAACTATATTGTAGAGTATTATAATGATTACCTGAGCTGTAATTGGTATCCGAGCTTAAGGAAATAGGATTTGAATGCCAAAAATATGTGTATGTTTGACTATAGTAAAGGGTTTGACTAAGTCAAGATCTATGGTGATTTGACTTCAAAAGGATTTGAAAATATTTGAATCAATATTTGAGATGGATTTGAAGGTTTAAAGGACTTGATTTGCTCAAATGGGTAGTAATAACCCACTTAGACCCTTAAGGAAATCATAGGTCAACCTAGGTTGACTTGGTCAGCCAAGTTGACCAAAGAGGTGGGTCCAGGCTCAACAGGTTTGAAATGATATTTGGAGATTATCGGAGATGGTCTCCAGGTATGGGGAGGTCAATTCGGTTAAAATGCCCTACCCGTTTTGATCCTTAAGGGCCTCTTTGGTCAACCTAGGTTGACTTGGTCAACTAGGTTGACCCAGGGTCTGGGTTTATGTTCAACAGATTTGATTTGATATTTTAAACTTGCTGGAAGTGTTTCTAAGCAATTTGGAGGTCGTTTGATTTGAAATTGGCATTTGAACCCCATAGGGGTATTTTGGTCATTTTGACCCTTGGTCAACTGAGGATCAAAGTGGGTCTACCAAGGTGTATTTTAATATTCAATAGGTCATAATCAAGTGTCTGGAAGTCATTGGAGGCTTTATAGAAAGCTCCAAGGTCAAAATCCATTGGATGGCAGGTCTAGTGGCATAGGCTGTAAATATTTAAAGGTTTTACAGCCTTTGATTTTTCATTAAGTTTCTGGGATTAGAGAACTCAGAAAAGGCTCAAATTTGGAGGGTTACCTCCAGAGACATGTTTTATCACTTTGCATGTAATAGACTCTGAATCAGAGGTTGTTTGAATGGGGTTTAAAGTGTTTGAAAATTATTAAAAGGCTTTTAGGACTTAGCCTTTTAGCATTGAATTTTGGTTTGGATTTCTAAGATCTAGGTAGATCCTAAGGTCTAGATTGGTCCTAGTGACCTCATACAAAAATGATGTCAACATCGGCGGGAGATGGAGGTCATAAGGATCGTACTTGGCGATGATGGTTGGAATAACCATAGTCGGGGGGGAAGGACCTTAGTCGGTAAGTGGCGATGGTCGAAAGGATTGTATTCAACGGGAAATGGAGGTCAGAAGGATCGTAGTTGGCAATGGTGGTCGGAAGGACCGTATTCGGGGGCAATAGAGGTTGGGGACCATAGTTGACGGGCGATGAAGGTCAGGAGGAATTCTAGCGGTGGTTGACAAATGGATGGAAGTTTGTTGGTTGTCGACGAATGGGCAGAAGTTTGATGGTGGTCTAGAAGAACTCTGAGGGTGGTCGACGAACAGACGGAAGTTTGGAGATGATGGATAAGAACTCCGGCAGTGGTCGACAGTGAGGAAGCTCCCAAATTCTTCCCTTCTCTTCCTCATTTCTTTTACCTATCATGTGAAAAATGAGAGTTATTTATAGTTATTTGATAGCGTCATGTCTTATAAATATAGGGAGAATCAAGGTCAAGATGAGAGTGATTTTAATGGACGAAAGATATTGATCTTTTGAATGTCTTAATAATATAAAAATTCGATAATCTCGGGCTCATTGGATTCATCTCATCGAGCCGCTTGATTTGATTGTAAGCATGCCACATTTGGAATTTGTTTGTTAATCCAAATTATGCTTTGAACTCTCCAAACATATTTTGGATTTTTAGTTTGGGCTTGGATTTGAATGATTTTAGTGTCGTTGGATTCGTCTTTTTAAGATGTTTAGTTCGACTCGAAGTTTGCTGAAATCGAAGTTTGGGTGGTCCCATATTTAATTTTAGAAGCTTTCAATTCAGTTTTGTCTCGAGATTTGTGCCCAAAAGATAAATTTTTTTATGATGATAAGTACATAACTTCAAACTTTCTTTCAATCGAGTGCTTATCTCTTGAATTATCTGTTTTTTGGGGATTCTTTGAATCTTCTCCATAACCGACGAATATATTGTTGAGTAATGTATAAAAGGTTGAACAACTCTTGTAAAAAAAAAAACTTAGGCTACAAGATACATATCCTACTCATCCAAGGAATGTCTATATCTACAACTTATATAGCTTTTGAATCACACGTAAACGAAGTAAACTGAATAATGAAAATCTTTTAATCAAATTTATTATTATTGACTATATGAAAAGACAATACAAACATACATATATAATTTGATAATATACATTGATTTGATAAGACAACTTTACAGCTCAAAGAATGTGACTACTCCCTACAACTTTACAGCTCAATGCATATTTAAATTGTCACATATAATATACAATTATAAAATAAATCTCAAAAATATTAATGACATTGATTTATTAATATTGTTGTTTTAAAAAATAAAAATAAAAATATATAAGTTGTTTGTTTAACGAGCAATTTACTTTGAATAAGGAGTAGCTCCTTCAACGAGTAACTTCGCTTGATTTAAAATTTATTTTTCTGATTGGTTTAGTGGCTAATTAAAATTTAATTGGTATTTAGTTTAAAAGTTAATCCTATATATAATGAAATTTAGATAATAAATATATAAACACAAATATTTTGATTAATAATTTAATACATACATAAATGATAAATCAAAACATTAATATTTATTAAACTAATAAATACTTTAAAAAAAAAATTTTGCCCATTCAATGGACCCCACCCCTCCACTATATGGACACATGGTAAAAAGGCTTTCAAAGGGGGCCTCCTTGTAAATTGTAAACCCCCAGTCCCCACTTTTCCACCCACAGAAAGTCCAAATAGCAACAAGGAGCGGTGCTTTCATTTGTTATCTTCTTCTTGGAACTTAGCAAGAATAAGGAATAAGGAGGTTGGTATTATTCCCCATCTCCCAACATCAAGACAAAAAGTCCTCATACTAATCCTATTCTTTTCCATTTGCTAATACAATACGACTAAAACCATCATTTTTGTTCTCTCCTCTGCTCATATAATTTAAAAAAATATATAAGAAAAGGAGGTAAGAGAAGAAGATGGGCGCTTCTTCTCACAAATTCATTCCATATTCCCTTTCGCAAGCAGACACAGCCAATCGATGCAGACAAAGCCTTCGCTTTTGTCGCCTAACCCACCTCAAAAACCTCGGCTGCTTCTGCTATTTTTTAGGGGGAGGAAGCTCGGAGGGAAGGCTCAAATTTAATTAAAAATGAAAGGATTTGTGGCTAAAAAGTCTTAACCGAGATGCCAAAGAAACCAAAGCAGAAGAAAGAAGACTGTTTAAAGGAGGTGTGAATGTAGAGAGAGATTATTTGACTGGAATATGAGCAGAAGAACATGTGTGCGAAATAGTCGTTCAGAGTAAAAATTTGTTAGAAAATAGATAAATAATAGATTGGGCAGGAAACGGACAAAAGCCAACTTAAGAGCCAAAGAAGCCAACAAAAAATGCATTGAGGAGATCGAATTATAAAGAATCTGACTAATTATTGTTGTACAAGACCGATAAGAGATCCAAAGGACGGCAATAAGCAGAGGCGAAGAGACCGATCTTTGCAGTCTGCTCTGCTTCTGGAGGGGAAGAGGCAGAGAAGGTCAAGAGAGAGGGAGAGAGAATTTGAAGAAAGGAAGAATCGAGGAGGAGCAGAGGATTTCAAAGAGTTTAGGTGAGACGCTTTCCTCTCTTCGTTTTGAAGCCATTGAAAAGCTTCGGCTGATACACAATATTCAAACTGTCGCTCTGTATTCCATTGATTGAGATCTTCTCCGCTCTTTTCTGACATTTCTTGTTTCTGTTTTTCAGCATCGCTTGATTTGTTCAAGGGATGATAGCCAAAGTGTTCTATTTTCTTTCGGCTGCAACCTCTACTTGCAAAAAGCTAACTTTCGGGCGTTCTCACCTCCATCTCTTCTCTCGTCTATTATAAACCAAAGCATTTTTTCTTCTTTTCCAGCCAAGCTAAAAGAAAAAAAAGCTGTCTTTTGGGTCATGGCCGGAATAGCCGACGAGTTATCTTCTTCGGTCACTTCTTCCCCTTTAGCAAGCTTCATGTCAATCTCCCCGACTTCCCTGGGCTCCCCCTACGCTCCATGGCTACGTGATCTCAAATCCGACGAGCGAGGTCTCTTCCTCATCCACCTCCTCCTCAACTGCGCCACCCATGTCGCTGCCGGAAATATCGACCAAGCCAACGCCTTTCTCGAACAAATATCATTCCTTTCCTCCCCCGACGGCGATACCATGCAGCGCATCGCCTCTTACTTCACCGAAGCACTCGCCCGCCGTCTCCTCCGCTCCTGGCCTGGCCTCTACCGCGCCCTCAACCCTGACCTCCCTGAATCCTCCTCCGCTTCCACTTTCCACGCCTGCCGACTCTTTCATGACCTCTTCCCCTTCCTCCGCCTCTCCTTCCTCGTCTCTAACCAAGCTATTTTAGAAGCCATGGAAGGCGAGAAAGTAGTTCACGTCGTCGACCTCGGTGGCTCTGATCCAAGCCAATGGATCGCTCTGCTTCAATCGCTCGCTGCAAGGCAAGAAGGCCCGCCACACCTACGTATCACCGCCGTCGGCGAGAGCAGGGATTTCCTTACCCACATGGCTTCTATCCTCTCAAATGAAGCTGAGAAACTCGACATACCGTTTCAATTCCACGCCGTTATTTCCCGGCTCGATACACTCAACGTCGAAAGCCTCCGCGTGAAGACCGGCGAGGCGCTGGCGATCACCTCCCTCCTCCAGCTCCACCCCCTCCTCGCCCCCAACGACGACGCCGCAGCACCAAGGAAGCACTTTTCCACCAAAATAGAAAGCTTTCTTACCTCGTTGTGGGGGCTTTCCCCCAAAATCATGGTGGTGACTGAACAGGAATCGAACCATAATGGTTCAACTTTAAAAGAAAGGTTCATGGAGGCATTGTACTTCTACGCGGCCATGTTCGATTGCTTGGAGTCGACTGTGCCAAGGCAGTCAGCGGAGCGAGCGAGGGTGGAAAAGATGCTATTTGGGGAGGAGATTAAGAACATCATAGCTTGTGAAGGGTTGGAGAGGAAGGAGAGACATGAGAAGCTCGAGAGGTGGATGCAGAGGCTGGAAATGGCTGGATTTTGGAGAGTGGGTTTGAGTTACCATGGACTGATGCAAGCGAGGCGACTGCTTCTGGGATTCGGTTCTGATGGGTATCAAGTGAAGGAGCAAAATGGAAGCTTTTTCTTTTGTTGGCAGGAAAGGGCTTTGTTTTCTGTTTCTGCTTGGAGATTCAGGAGGTGATTAGATTTGAATTTTTGTTGATCACTGGTTCTGATGATATAGATCATGTTGTTGATGATGATGAATATTTTTCTTGGTATTATCTGTTGACCAATGTATCACTAAACAAACATCGTCGTGTAAAGATTCATACTTTTCATGTGATATATATTGCAGTATTGTGGAAGCTGGATATAGGAAAGTAATTGCTTATCAGATTGAAGTTTGCTTCTGGATTCCTTTTTGTTTGGAGCTTGGTGGACTGGTGTTAGTTTTCGTTCTTCTGATTGTCTCCATGAGGAGAACTTATTCTGGGCGGAGTCCAGATATATTGGGACTCCAATCAAAATTGACTACAGGTGTGTATAGTACATAGATTATATCCGCAGAGAATAATTTTTACTCCACGAGAAAGATGGAGGAATAACCTTTCCTAGTTTCCTGGGATGTTATGATATTTCAGCGTTTCCGTATGGGTTTTGATATTTGCATGATTATTTATAGTTGCAACTTGTAAGGCAATTAAGAGATGGTATTAGTTTTTTTTTTTTTCCCTAGTGCTAATTTGACAGAATAGAGTGTCAAAATCTGACACCACTGAAACCTGATCTGAAGCCCGACCCGAAAAATTTTGGGTTCGGATTAACCCATTTGTCATACGGGTTGGATTCGGGTTTGTAATTTCAACCCGTTTGTAAAACTAGGTCGGGCTCTAGTTTACTCGAAAACTCGAAACCAACCCAGATTGACTCGTTCGTAATCTCACATGACCTGTCTTCGTGAATCGTCGTGTCACTTGCGTCGATTTGTTGTGTCAATCATCATGTCCCTCACTAACTCGTCAATCGTCACGTGTCGCTCACTGCCTCGTTGTGTCACCGCCGCTGGCATGCCGTCGAGGGGGTTAGGTCGGGTCAACATAGCAACCCACACAGATCAAGTCCGAGTTGACAATCCTGGCATGTTTATAAAATCGGGTCGGGTTAGTGTCGACCCGTTTACGGCCTGCTCAAGTTGGGTTCGATCTAAACCCAACCCGTCGACCTTACTTTTTTTTTCTTTTTTTGAAAATGGAGGGGCCATTTGATTGGATGAAAAATATGCAGAGTAAATTGACATACATTTTAAAAAGAATGCAGTGGATTTAAAATATTTGAAGTTATTTAAATGAGTAAAATGAATATAATTGATTTTTTTCTTTTATTTGGCGACTAATGACAAACGGGTGTTGGTGGCAACCACAACCTGTGATGGGTGGTGGTTATGGCGGGAGGTTGTTGGGTGCAAAGGCAACTGTGGGTGATGGTCGACACTTCAACAATTGTCAAATACATCAACATTACAATTGATTTTTTTTTCCTTTTTAGTTGGTTTGAAGTAAAATGAACGAAGTGTAAAGCCTAATGATGACATGGACTAATGGCAAATGAGTGTTGATGGCAACCCCAGCCTGCGATGGGCGATGGCTATGACGGGAGGTTGTTGGGTGCGATGGCAATTGTGGGTGGTAGCCGGTAGCAAGTGGTAGATGATAACGGCTATGGCTAGTGCCAACCTATGGTAGCAATGATATCAAATTTATAGTATATTTGAAAATCCGTTTAGTCGGGTAAGTTTAATAATTATCAAATACATCAACATTTAATTAGAAAGTTTTTGGTGGGGAAGAACTAAAAATTGAATTCCAAACGCATAAATTTTGTTTTTTGTTTATTTTTTTTTTTTTTTTTTTTTTTTTTTTTTTTTTTTTTTGCATTTCTCTAATAATATTTTCTATTGCATTTAGATTACTTTACACCCTTTTTACTTCAATACTTATTAACAATTATGTGGCCCTCATAAATGAGGTAAAATATGAAATATTTCTCTTTTGTTATTTGTTTCAATTAACTATCGTTAGTTTAATTTTTTTTTAAAAAAAATATTATTATAAAAAAAATGAGAAAAATAGAATATTTTATTAAAAAAATTGCATTAAAACATGAATACGTAAGTGAAGACTAATAAAATTGAATGAAAAAAAAAAATTAAAAGGGTGCTTAATACTTTTTAAAAATTGAGAGAGTCCTGTGGCAGTCTTCTAAACTCCAGAGGAAATGGTTGCTGATTACTCATTATTGTAGGGCATTTTGTATGATCAAATAAAATCATTGGGGGTAAGGGTGTAAAAAATGATCCGAACCGAATCTGATTGAAAAAAATTCGGGTTTGAATTGACCCGCCAACCTATATAACATAAAAATGACCGTTTAATTTTTTTTAAAATTGTGTGTAGAATATTCTTATTTTTAATCAAATATCTTAAACTTTATAGTTAAATAAGTTATTATATTTTATTAAGTTATAAAAAAAAATTAACCAAAATGGGTGAACTCAGGGTCGGGTCATTTAGGTTACTAGCGGTTTGAGTTCTGGTTGAAATTTTTTACTCGTTTATTAAGCGGGTTAGCCTTTAATTGATTAGATTCATGTCAGATCTGAACTTAATTGGTCAAGCCATTTTGATACCCCTGGGTGGGCATTATTCCAAATGATTTTATTTAAAAAATAATTTCCATATATTCTATAAAGCTATTTCATTGTTTATCTTCTATAAATTTTTTGATATATTTTAGTAAAATAAATCTTTTCACAACACAAGTTCTTATCAATAAAGAATACTTATTAGAAATTATTATATAATAATTATTTGCTTTAATTATCATTATAAATAAATAATTAAATTTTTTGGAGATGTTATCCAATCATTTCTTGTGAGTCTTGACCTTAACCTCTACGCACAAAGATTAATGCATGATAGAATAAAGAAATTTTTTTATATTCTTGTTGATCTTGCTTTTCACTAGACTAGGGTCAAGAGGGTTGACTTGGTTAAAGTGATCAAGTCAAATCCTAAGACCACTTCCAATGGGTTCAGTGAGTCGAACTAAATTTGTTGAGCCCAAACCCAAGTCCTGGGTCAACCTAGTTGACCAAGTCAACCTAGGTTGACCATGCCATTCTAAGTCACTCCTATTTGAATTTAGATCGATTTCAAATCACCTTGAGCTCAATTCTTATTAATTCAGGCTTGATTGAGCAAGTTGACCTAGTCAATAGTTGATTTGGTCAACTCGGCCTTAAATTAGTCAAAATTGACCTATTTAGGTCAAATACTTGACCCACATGGCATATTGGCATTAAAACACTCCCATCCCTTGACTCTCAACACGACCAAGAGAGCTTAGATCTCTCTTAATCAACCCTAGCTAGGAGGCATCCTGACCGTCCATCCTAGGGTTAAGGCTATAAATAGAGGTCAGATCCCTCACTAGAGGGGATCTTGAATATTCTTCTTGCTTAAAGCCTCCCAAAGCTTGTGATTATTCCATTGAGCTCTCCTTGATTTCCTCTACCTCTTCGAAGTCGAACACTACCATCCAAGGCCGCCGCTGGCGAGCTTTCCGGCGAACTGAGTACCTAGTATGTCCAAGGCCTAGATCTCATGATCTAAAGCTTTTCGAGCCGCAAATTCTTCTACAAGTAGGAGTATGAACAGTCTACAAGTGCAACAAGCCCGAGACTTCCCAAATCCATTGGATATTTTTGGTAAAATCGTAAAACCTAGTGTAGAACACTTAGATTTAAATAACTTTTCATAAAGCACATTTTAAACTGCAAAATTGGTCTCACATAAATGCTCTTCATGCATCCTATGCATGTTTAAAAATTCATACAAATTGATCGATCCGATCGAGCAAACGAGGCAAACAAACCCTTTCTAGGGTTTGTTCGCAACGTACCCATTGTGTTCATTTTCTGAGCCAATGATTGTGCGATTAACAGCCCAGATCAAGCAGTCTTGCGGCATCATTCGACCGCTAATCAAATTCCGTGGTCATTTGTTTCGTTCGGCTTCATCCCTGCCGTCCATTTCGAGAAACTGCAGATATCCAACGACTCATGAGGGTGAGCGCCTACGTGGTTAAGTGCCGCGGTGCTAATTTCTGTGCCGCTGTAATCATTTGCAATGATTTTAAATCGTGTAGATGGTTTGGGATAGCCAAGCAGAGGCTGCCACGTAGCGCCGGTGCCACCGTTTTATAATATTTAATTTAAATCTATTTTTAAAACTAGAAAACTTTAAAAAATATTAAAAATTAATATAAATCCAAAAAATTAATATTTTATATCAAATTTCTCAGAAATTAAAATATTTTATTTTAAAAATAAATGCCCGAGGCTGCCCACTCCTGCCCGTGCACACCAACTCTTGCTTGCACACGCCACTAGCGCTTGGATCTCGCGTACACGCGCGCTCTCCGTCCACCACCCCGTCGTCCCGCCGTAGCCGTCCTTGGGTCAAACTTGTCGGGTTAGGTCAACCCGGTAACCTGACAGATCGAGTCTATGTCTAGATTTCTGACCCGTTTACATAACCAGGTCGAGTTCGGATCGACCCACTTGAACCCGGGTCAGTTCCCGGTTTGACTCGAACCCGATCCGAAATCCTGTTTTGACACCCCTAACTATGATATATCACTAAGTTGTAATTGCTTATATGCCCTCCATTTGGGCCAAACCATTATTGAGGGTATATACTTTTTGTGCTAATTTGCATATATGTATATAGGATTGGGATCTTATTCAACAGTTGTGGTAGTTGTGCTGAGCAATTACCATATTTCAATCATGCAAATCATTTTTGGTGTTTAAAATTGGTATAAAAGCCTGAATAAATGTGAAAAAAAATAGAATTATATAATATATGTATTGCAATATATAAATAATTGGTATTGCACTATTTCAAAATAGATACGAAGGTTTTTAAATCCATTCTAATATAAATTTTATTGAGGGTATTCTCACCTAATCTTTTTCCTATGATTAATAAGAAGATATCAATGATAGTTATGTGATCGATTCGATGGGCGTTTTGAGTTATTTGAAAGAGGCTGTTGTGGAAGAAGTTGATAGACATTTTAGGCATGAATGAGAATGTTGTGGATGAATTGTGTTAAAAAATTTTAGTTTGAGTGGAAGAGATGAGCTATATTGAGAGCTCTCATGGCAGAGACTTTTAGGCGATTTGGCTCTGCTAGGGTTTTTTCTTCTTTGGCGACTACTTCCCGCCTTTTCTTCTTCGGCCGCCTGTCCATTTTCCTCCATTTTCGAGAGGAGGCTGGCTCCTCCTCTCCGGAATGGCTCTTGATCCCTCTGCTTTCCCCCCTCTCTCGGGCACTTTCGTGCTTGGTGCTCCTTCAAGACCGCTGGTCTCCTACGCGGATAACCTACTGCTCCTTCGGTCATTCCTGATGACTAGCGGATGTCTTTTATCACTCCCACCAAAAAACTCTCCATTTCTACAGATGAGCTTGCTGCTGGGAAGAGCATCTGGACTCATTCTCTAGTTGGATACTCCATCGGGCCTCGCCCGTATTATGAACGGCTCCTCGGTGCTATGAACAAGGCATGGAAGCTCAAAGGCTCTTTCTCCTTGCTTTCCATGGCAGATGGCTTCTTCCTTCTTAAATTCATCTCGGCTGAAGATATGGAGCTTGTTTTCTCAGATGGTCCTTGGTTCCTCCTGGGTAAGGCTTTTATTTTACAAAAGTGGAATCCAAAATTTAAACCCATTAGGGATGAATCCGCTCTAATTCCGATCTGGATTAAAATTTTGGATCTTCCGCTTGCTTTGTGGACTCCCACTGGAATCTCCAAAATCGCTAGTTTTGTGGGTATTCCTTTATTTGTTGATGCTTTGATGACCAAGAGAACGATGCTCACGTTCGCTCGTGTTTGTGTTCATATTAGCAAGGATTCTAAATTGCTATATGAAATACCTTTGGATTTGGATGGTGAAGACATGACTTTGAAAGTTGTTTATGTCTGGAAACCAACTCCATGCGAAGGGTGTGGCTCTCTCTTCCACCCCTTTGCACTGTGTTCTTCTAATCCCAACCCCAAGCCTGTCCCGAAAAACATTTTTCCCCGTGGAAGAAGTAAGTGCAAGAAATCGGCCACTCGGCCCTCTACTCCTACACCTAAACCTCCGCTTCCGAACCAAATAATTTCTAACCCCCCTGCCTCTGAAACGGTTTTGGTTCCTCCCTCTTCTATGGACCAAAATCCCTCTTCTGATCTCTCCACTCTCCCCCTTCTCCCTACTCCGTTGGTTTCTCAGCCTGAGGATCCGACCATCCCCACCGAACAAGTTTCTGCTATTCCTAATCTTAATCTTCCTAATGTTGAATCTTCCTCGTCTCTTCCCTCTCTTCCCATTCAGTTATTGATTCCTCCACAAGTTCTTATTAATAGCAGCTTTGCTTCCTTGAATGAGGATCCTGCTCTAGCTGTTGTGGCTGAAGAAAATTGTGATGATGAAGATGTTTCCTCTGCCTCTTTGTCAACAGACTCTTACAGTCACAACTCTGTTGACTCCAAGGTGCAATATCTTACAACTTCTTCTAAATCCAAAGCCTCATCTAAAAAAGCTTCCCCTCCGAAGAAACCCAAAGCCAAATCTGCCAAAAAGGCAAAAAATCCTTGTTAATCATGTCCTTACCTCCTTTTGCTTCTTGGAATGTGAGAGGATTTAACCACCCTCTCAAAGTTACTATGTGCAAAGACCTCATCTCTTCCCATAACCTCAAGCTTCTTGGTATATTAGAAGCTAAAATTCATCCTTCTATGTCTTCGGATCTTTGGTTCTGTCATTGCCACAAGCTTTTTGAGAATGAATTGTGCTGTGACAATTTTGCTTTTTCAAATCCTGGTAGGATTTGGCTCAAGTGGGACTCCATGGCTGTTTCCTTTTCTCCTTCCTTCATTTCTTCTCAGATCATTCATGGGATGTTTTCCTCTAGCTCCTCCCCTCCGATCTTATTATCCGTCATTTATGCCGCTAATCAGCCGGAAGATAGGAAGGTTCTCTGGGACAATCTTCTTCAAATTTCTCAAAGCATTCATCTTCCCTGGGCTGTCTTGGGAGATTTTAACTGTTACAGGTATGATTATGAGAAGGTTGGGGGAACCCCTTTACCTCAAGGCCGTTTGGGGGAGTTTAGCAATTTTATTTTTAACTATGGGCTTCAAGACCTTTCCTCAGTTGGTCTCCTTTATACCTGGTTTAATCAAAGGGTTTATTTGCCCATTCACATTAAGCTCGATAGAATTTTGGTGAATTCTGAATTTCTTGATTTCTTCCCTACTGCTCATTACAAGGTGGATTCTTCCTTCGGTTCTGACCATTCTCCCCTTATTCTGCTGGCTAACAATGTTAACAAAACCATCTCTAGGTTCATGTTCAAGAAATTTTGGCTTAATATGGATGGTTTTTGGGAGGTTTTGCTTACTGCTTTTAACTGTCCTAATATGGATAGCCCTATCTCTGTTTTTTACAACTGTTTGAAAGTTCTTAAAAATAAGATTAAAGGTATGAACTAGTATTCTTCTACCTTTTTGTCCAATGCTATTTTGGAAGCTAAGAGCCATCAGATGCAATGCCTTAATGCCTTACAATCTTCTCCTCTGGACCATGGTCTTAACACCAATCTTAAAATGGCTAATGAGAAGCTCAATTTTTTACAAATGGAATGGTCCTCTTGGATTTTAAAGAGCTAAATCTTATTAGCTTGCTCAGAGGGAAGATGATCTTGATTTTCTTTATGCTAAAATTAGATCTAGAGCCAACAGGAATTTGATTAAAGAAATCTCCTCTAGCCGGGGCATTATTACTGGACATCACAATATTGCGGTGGAGCTTATTGAGCATTTCAAAGGCCTTTTCAATGCCACTAATCACTTTAGGAATGACTCTTTGTCTATTCTTGTTGGTAATATGGTTCCCTCCTCCTTTTGTAACTCTCTTGTTGAGCCTTTTACTGACAATGATATTAAAGTCGTGGTTTTTGCTGGAAAACCTGATTCTGCTCCCGGCCCGGATGGTTTTTCCTTCAGTTTCTATCAACAAGCTTGGCACATTATTGGGTATAAACTTTGTATTGCTGTTACGCATTGTTTTGCTACTGGGGACATGCCCAAAGGGGCTAAGGCTACGGCTATCACTCTCATTCCTAAAGGATCACATGCTTCTAGTATTTCTGATTTCAGGCCGATTTCTCTTTGTAATGTTTTTTATAAAATTATGGCTAAACTTATTGCTAATAGACTTAAGCCTATCTTACCCCTTATTATCCATGATAGCCAAGCGAGTTTCATTGCTAATAGACAGTCCATGGACAACATTATCTTGTCTAATGAGTTGCTTAAGGTTTTTAAAGGCCCACAAAAGTTTTTTTGTGCTAAACTTGATATTAAAAAGGCTTTTGATTCGGTTTCTAGAAATTTTCTGCTTCACAGATTGAAACTTAAAGGCTTCCCGGACAAATTCATTGATTGGATCAAAGGTTGTATCAGTAATGTCCATTTCTCTATTTGCCTTAATGATTCTCTTGAAGGTTTCTTTAGCTCCTTGTCTGGTCTCCGCCAAGGGTGTCCTCTTTCACCCTTACTTTTTTGCATTGCTATGGATGGACTTTCTCAATGCCTTCAACATTCTTCTTTTGTCGGGCTGAATCAAGGATCCTTTTCTATTAAGCACCTCATGTATGCTGATGACCTCTTGGTCTTTGGGTTGGCCTCTCAAGCTAACTTGGTCTGTCTTAAGGATACTTTGCTCCTTTTTTCTGAAGATTCTGGACTTTATATTAACCCCTCTAAGAGCTCTATTCTTTTCTCTAAGATGGTGGGAAATGCTGATTTCCTTGCCTCTATTTTGGGTATCTCCTCCATTGAGAATTCTATCACTTACTTGGGGCTTCCTATCACCTACAATAGACTTAATTTCACTCACTTCCAACCCCTTCTGAGCAGAATTTCTGCTCTACTTGAGGGTTGGAAAGTACGTTTTCTTTCTTTTGCAGGTAGGGTCCAATTTATTAAATTTACTATTTCAAATACAATTGCCTACTGGATTAGGGGTGTCATTATACCCAAAGCTTTTCGTAAGGTTTTCTCCAAGTTATGATCCAAATTCCTACTTTTTGGGAATATCAAATATAAGAAAATGCATTTCATTTCTTAGAAAGCTGTCACTAAACCCAAGGATAAAGGGGGTTTAGGGATTCCATACTTTGATTCGATGTATTATGGGGTTTTTTTTCTCGTTCATTTGGCGTATGTATAATACTCATTCTCTTTTGGGTAACTGGTTTAAATCTAGATTTCTTTCTCCTTGGAAATCTCCCCCTATGTCTGCTACTTCTAGAAGCTAGTGTGTAATACTGCTATTCAAACCAAGGACCTTTTTGATTTTAAGGTTGCAGATGCTTGCAATTTCTCAATGCTTTGGGACCCTTGGTTTTGTGGTGATTCTTTGGGTAATCATTTATACGATGCTGCTCTGGTTGACTGTGAGGTTATGGATTTTATTTCTAATGGGCCTTGGAACCTACCTGATGGGTGGCCAGTGGATATTAAACAGAAAATTCTTACCATTTCTGTTGAGGAAGTCTCTGGTGTGGATTGGGCTGGTATTTCTAAGCCTTCTTTTAAGACTTTTACTTCCCATTTTTTTGATAATCTGGAGGATGTAAGCCGGTTTAAGTTCATTTGGCATAAAAAGAATGCTTTGAGGTATGCTTGTTACTCTTGGATGGCTATTAATGGAAAGCTTAAATGTGCTGACAAGCTTATTTATAGGGGAATCCCGGCTTCTCCTATTTGTGACTTTTGTAGGGGGCATAATGAGTCTCACTCACACCTTTTCTTTAGTTGTGATTTTACATTTACTGTTATCTCTTCCTTGCTGCCTGCCCTCAAATGCTTCTATTTTAGGCCTAATTTATACCAAGTTTATGATTTTTTCAACTGCAATGCCAACTTTAATGCTTCAGAGAAAAATTGTTGTTTTCTGGCTATTTCTGTGGCTGTGTACTACATATGGAGGGAACAAAATGTTAGGAGATTCACTAATTCGTGGAACAGTCCAGATTATGTTAAAACAATTATTACTTCTGCCATTCATACTAAAATTGGTAAACGGAAAGCTGATGATAAGTTGGTGGACCATTTTAAGGAATTTATGTTGTAATTCCTATCTTTGTTGTTTTTATCTGGACTGGTACCCTCTGGTTCCTATGGTTCTTTGGAATTTCTGGACATTCGGTATCTTCGAAGCTGATGCTGCTGGTTTGCTGGTTCTATCCCGTTATATGCCCATCCGTTGTGACCTGACATATAAGCCTTTCCTGGACAATGATGAAGCTCCCATATCCCTTGGACGGTCTACGGGCAACCAAGGATTAGTGTATATGTCGTGTCTCTCTATTTATTCTCTGAGTCAAGGATATTTTGGCTTGGGAGCTCTTTTGGAGGAGTCGGCTCTTCTTGCTTCACTGCCAGTTTTGTCTCTTTGGCATTTTTCCTTGTTTTGGTTAATGCTTTACCTTTTCTTCTTATATTTCTGCAGCCATTGCTGATAGTTTGTAATTGTTTTTATTTTGTTATGCAGCATTTAAGCTGATAGGGTTTTGATTGACTGTTACTGGTTGGTTGTGGTAGCAGTCAATTTCCTTTTTTGTAATCTTTCTGGTTTAATGTTATGGGCTTTGGCCCCGAATTTCCCCCGAAAAAAAAGAGAGCTCTTATGTGATGAAATGATTGTGAAGGCGCCTTTTACTTTGAAATTTTCACTTTAAAGATATTTTGGCATAGAAATATTAATTTTTTAGTTCTCTATCATAAGATGTAGCTTTTAGGCTAAATAATTTTGACTAAAAATTTGTTTAACCTAATTTTGATCCCCAATTTGAAGTTTGGTTGTGTTTGCCTTAAAAATTCGAACTTTTGAAGTTTATCCTAAATCTTCAAATCATCTGATCTATTTGTCACTTCCATAGGCTTAGCTCATCTAAGAGCTCATTAACTTGGTTGCTTTGAGATAGATTATATGTTTTAAGAAGTAATAGTTTCATTTTCACTGAGGCGTCATTTGCGATCATTTTTTTACTGCTTTCTAAAGCAGCTTTTAGTATAAAAAAATTTTTAAACAAAATTTTTTTACTAAAAGAATAGTTTAGAAAGTAGTAAAAAACCTGTCCCAAAAAAAAACCTTAATTTTGCATAAAAAATAAAAGCATTGTTTTTTTTATGTTTAAGCCTAAATTTACTCTTAATTACATTCAACTAAACATTAAAATATAACAAACTTCATCATTTTCTAATACCATTTTTCCTTCTACAAGCAATCAAGTGGGGGGACATAAGTCGAGTATGTCGAAAATACAAATGAAACTATGTTCTCATTTGTGACGTCTTTTTTACTACTTTTCAAAATAATTTTTTATTACAAAAATTTTTTAAACTAAAAAAAATACTTAAAAGCTACTTCGGAAAGCAGTAAGAAAGCGGTCCCAAACGAAACTTATATTTTTTAAGAACATAAGCATTCATCAATCCAGCTGTATTACAACTATTTGAGCAGGTTTACATCGCCATAAAAACTTTCCATAATGGTAAGCATCTACAGATAATTACGCCTAAGACAGGTCTTAGAATGTAAAATACCATTTTTAATCACTAATGAACTCACCAACTTTTATAGCCTGGATAGCTATGTCACACTAACTTTAAAAGAAAAAAATCCCAGGTTTAATTAGCTGATAAGTATTAGATGAACTATGCCACATCATCTATAAGAAGAATTTCATTTCCCCATTACCTATGTGAGAGAAGTTAAGGGATAAACTATGGAACAAATCAAAATGATTATGCTGATCTTATTAAGAAGCTAAGGCTTCGTTTGGGGAGTCTTTCTTACTGTTTTGTAAAGCGATTTTTTAGTATAAAAATCTCTAGAAATCAGAGAAAAACAGTGGCCTAAAGCTGTCCCAAACAAAGCCTAAGTTATCTCAAGGCAACATTTCTTTGTCAACAGAGAGATATAATGATGAATTATTCTGTGCGGACACCGGACAGAGAACCATCAGGTTTGTCTCTGTGAACAGTAAAAACGCAGCTGTTGAGCTGTGTTTTTTACTGTTCATGTTGTGCTTTTACTATTCACAGAGACAAAACCGGACGGTTCTTCCAATCTGGTGTCCGCACAGAATAATCTCTCGAGATATAATAACTATGTTTTACACTGTAGAAACATCCTCACAGATTAAAATACATATAAGCAGATGTAGTTTAAATAGTTCATATCATCTATAAAGTCACCATACAAACCTTTTTTTTACAAGCAGAATAGAATTGTTCATGCAGATAAAGAACACGCTATTAAATATCAGTACTACATTCTTGGCCCAGGGATTCTTTCTTTATCCCCACTATTAAAGATTTCTATCACCTAAATCTCACTCAATCAGTGCATAATTGCTCTATGTAACCTGCTTGAACAAAATTAATAGAATCAGTATCAGAACTAGAATATGAAAGCCTACAACGAAGTAGTTTATGAAAGAAATTAAAGTATGAGATAAAACTGGAGTTCTATAATTGCTTACAGTTAACCCTGAGAGTGCTAATTGCATGCTTGAACAAAACTCAGGTGATTGAAGGTTGTTGTGCCATGGCTCAGAGGTTTTTCACACATAGGCAATGGAACCACGGTTTCAAAGGCTTCGACGAGCAGTGCTACCTTCTTCTTCCTAGCAGGACCTAACCTTGTTACAGCCTGTTGAAGAGCATAATCTATCATCCATTCCTCTGAATTCCTTCTCCCATCCATTGTTTGGTGCCTAAGATCTACTTTTTCTGCTTCTGGATCAGGCTCTAAAGGGAGAAAATTCGGCGGCCGTGGGTTGAATTCCTTAACTTGCTCAAATTCCTCAGTTGTTTTCTTTTTTGTGATACTCCATCTTGAGCTTAAAGCACCATCAATTTCATTGTAATCTATTGCAGAAACATTCAATATATTTCTATCTGTTCCTTTTGAATCCTCCTGCAGCTCTCTCTCTGGATTTTTAGCTTCATCTTCCAATATGATATCATCTGATTGGCAATTAGTTGTCTTTGATGAAAGCTTCTGAACATCATCGTCGATAGATTGAGAATTGAACTCAGGGATGTTGGAATCTTCCTTCTCAAACACTTGTGAATTCCGCTCCTCACTTTCTGAATCATCATCTGCAGAAAACTGTTCATCAGGGCATTCTGACATCTGGGTGTTATCAGGAAAGGAACATATTTCTTCTTCCCAATTCATATCAATAGTTTTGATTTCGGGCTTCCTGATTTCACCATCTTCCTCATAGTCTTTCTTAGCTGTTGTTCTGCCATGATCAAGCTCCACATATTCAAGGAAGTTCATCATGACATCATCCATTTCATCTTGTGAAAATTCACTGTTCTGATCAAAGCTCATATCTGAATATTCCTTAAACTGAGGCATACACTGTTCATGATATTTCTCATCTATGATGCTAATTTCATCGTAGTTGTACTCCCCTACGGTTTCTTCTTGAGGCATGGTAATAATCTCAACAAATAAATCAGATGGATTCTTACTTATTTCATCTTCTAGCTCATCATCAATCATCTTCCTTTCCTTCTGTAACAGACTAGTTTTAAATGAAAGCAGCCCCTTCACTTTCAAACTTCTCTGGGTCTTGAGCAGCTTCCTCCTTGCAGAAATGAAGCACTTGAGAGGAGGCAAAGGCTCATGAATATGACCGTTAAGGGAGCAATAAGTATAAGGGCAGACTCTTATCTTCGAAGTTCCCTCGGCTTCAGTTGCGCCATGATTGAGCTCTAAAGCTGAAGGAAACTTCGAATCTTTCAAAGTTGATGAGCAGGTGGCCCTGTTCACATTCTTCTTGGCACACAAAGCGACCACCGAGCACTTCTTCATTGAAGATTTCACTGGTTTCAGACTGGACTGTCTACTCAGTGCCTTCACAGCTCTAGGAGAAGAAAAACCAACAGAAGAGGCATTCGATTTCTTCGAGCTTCTTGGAGTACTTTTCTTCTTATAATTACCAACAGGAGAATTGACCGTTACCTGCAACTTCTCTTTCCTTGCATCTGAACTGCTGGTCGATTTCATGTAGTTTCTGATTGGAATAGAAGAGGTCTTCCTGCCTTCGAAGCTATCCAAATCAGAAACTTTAATGGATTTTACCTTCATGAGCTTTTTCTTGTGATCAGCTCCACTCCTGGCTCTTGTATCTTGTTGCAGATGAGAAGAGAATTGTCTGTCTAGTCTGCCATGGCTCTCCTTGTGTTCAATTGGAGCTTTTGGCTTGTCTGGTGCTTTCCTCTGAACCATGGTGGAAGGAAGAAGAGAATTGCAAGTTGTTGCTGTGGGAGATGAAAGATGAAACAAAGGGATTGATTTTAATAAACAGTTGATCACATTAATTAAGCGTGGGGGTGTCCTCTTTACACCTAAATTATATTAGGTTGGAGGGCCACCAGTGTTAGAATAAAGTCTGATAAGAGTGGAACGGTGACAACCACTTTTGTTAGTGCAATATTGCCAAAAAAAATTTTGATTAGTTATTCTTTGCGGTCACAGGATATAGTCTAGAGGCGAATCAGGATGCGTCACATCACTTTTTTTGCTATGTATCTGTTGCGTCCTGGAATATTCGCGGCGGTAGAGAAATATATAGTTTAACGTCTTAGCATTGTACGAAGATCCAGCACACAAGCAGATAAGAAGAGAGGGTCTAGCATTTATGAGACACCAAGATTTTTACGTGGAAAACCCCTGAAAAGGGGGAAAAACCACGGGGGTCACAGTATATAGTCTGGAGGCGAATCAGTATGCGTCACATCACTGTTTTTACTATGTATCGATGCTGTGTACCAAGTGACGTGACGCATTCTGATTCATTTCTGAAAAATCTGGGTAACCTCCTAGAATAATTTCTCAAGAAATTTAGTCCAACTTGGTATCCTCACCGAAGGTTTTTGTTTTTAACTGATTTTGAATTTATGAGACCGTTAAAATAAATTTCTAACAAGATAGCCTAATCCTTTTTTTATTCAATTGAGTGCACATATTATACATGAGTTTTATTAATAGCATGAAATAAATAAAAACCCTAAAAAAATTATCTTAAAATCTCAATTATTTTTCGCACGATAAAACGATAATTTTTAAATCTTACGTTTTTTTTAGGGTTGATAATTATGATCGAAACTTAAAAATTTGCTTTAACTAATTAAATTAAAATTAAAATTGAATTGTTTTATTTTGCTAGAGATTGGATCAAAATAAATTCAATTCAAGGTGAAGATAACCCCATATGTGTGGACCAACTTACACAAAATTAACCCTATCCTAAGGAAGAAAAAATTATTTTTTTTTCTTAAATTTATTATTCAACTAAAAGATCAATCGAAAAATATACTCATGATTATATTTTAATCAAATTTTTTATAATTAATTATTCATAAGCATGTAAAAAATATAAATATCATTAATATATATATCATAAAAATTAAAATTATAAAAAAATATATGAAAGTAAAATTAATAATTTTTTTTTTTTATTTTCACTCAACTTTACCTTAAATTTTCACCCAATTTATTATTAAGAATGATGTGGTTGTCACATCATTTCCTCCCACAATGACAACTTGGTGTGATCAAATGCAGCTGAGATGTGTGCGGTTAAAGTTACCGCGCTCATTATACCCAGTTTTTCTCCCAACAATCTGTCATTTAACGATTTAATATTTAATTTATAAATAAAAAGGACAGAATTTGAGAGGCGGTGGGCCGGAGTGGATATGGACGGCGAAAGCTTCTTGGGCCCACCAGAGCAAGGCCTCCCTTATCAACTTAGTTATAAAAGTAAAAAAATTACGTTAAAGATTTTGACTTAATATATATAAGGGTATATAAAGTAAAATGAAATATAATATATTTTAAATATTTAAAATTATTTATATAAATAATTTTTTTAAATTTTATTTGAAGTAAAATGATTGTAATGTAAAGCTTAACAATAGTGATGGAGACAGAGGAGGTCATAATTGGTGGGGAATGATATCCTATGATAGTGGTGGTTAAAATGACCGGTGGGATGTCAATCGACAATGGCGG